AGCAGGAGGCAGTTTGGGTGATTTGTAGAATATATTGCTGTAAAAGACCATTAGATCTTTCAGTCTGACCTCTTGAGTATCATAGGTTATTGAGTCTCACCGTGCACCTCTGGGCAGAGGTGGTAAGTAGGGTTCAGCCAAACTCTGTCTCCTAGAAGATGATCCAGGCTCAGTGGGAAGACCCTGAGAACTGGAGAAAACACCATGGATCAGCTATGGCGTATGCATGTGGGATGCATGTTCAAGCATGTGTTTTCAAACTGCACAACAAAATTCACAACTTGATGAAAAATAAGTTGTTCTGTGTGTCCTTTAATGTTAGGACTTGTTTCTTCGAGAAGGTTTGGCTCTGTCCTGCTTCCACTGCAGTGAGGTGTGCTATTTTCCATGAAAACCTATTTGCTGCAGGATCGGTCCATAATCTTGCAACATATTTCATAAAATAAAGCCACAATGAGTGATATGTGGTCCAAGAAACTGGATGTCAAATTTCAACTGGGTGAGAATTGAAACTGCCGAGATAATAAACCATGAGAATAGGAGATAGTAATGGAAATAGTGATAGAGTCCTAATTAGAACAGTGCCACTGAAACAGGGAAGGTTAAGGGTTTGGTTGATTGAGTTTGAGCTCAATTGCTTGATAGCTTAATTTCAGGTGAAATCCCATCTTCTGAGTTAGCGGTTAAGCCGCTCAGTGCAGTTACAGAGCAGGACTCTGTACTCCTTGAGGAGCAGCCGCGTGGCCCCGGGCGTCCCAGCACTGCACGCGAGCCTGGCCTCGGGCATGCGGAGTGGGATGCAGGACAGAGCTGGTAAAATAGATTTTTACACTGCGTGTTTTGTTTGCTTTCTTCTTTTCTGTGAGCTCCAAAGAGCTCTGAACACAGGCGCAAATAACAGAATAGATGCAGCAAGGGCCTTTGATGGTTAAACCTTCAGAATTAAGATGTTTACATTCTCCTTTATTTAGCACTGTTAAGCATAATGCCTAATGATATGCCAGTTTTTCCTCAAAGTAAGAACTTGAATTGAAATGTTTGATTTGGGGAGAAGGGAGGGGAAATGTATTTTTACAGAATTATGGACAATAGTGTTAGTTTTCCAGGAGCAGTCATTTGTTTAAATGTATGTAAAAGCATTTTCAATAATCAAACACCATTCAGTGAGCATTGTAAATCAGGGATAGCTTGCATGCTGAAAAATTGAAAAGTACAAAACATGCTACTAAAGTTGTACATTATTGATAACAAAAGACACATGCAGACTTTTAAGATAGCAAAGATAGAATCCTTTAGAAGACGGGAAAAAATCAACACAAAGGATTTAGCAAAGTTGCACTTAGTTTAAAATTTCAAATCCTAATGCTTGTCAGAGTTAAATGCTGATTAAATATTGATAATAAAACAGAAGCTGCCTGCTGTAACTCAGAACCAAATGAGATGATCAACAGATAAATCTGTGGGTTTGAGCTTTAACATTTTATATATGTATATTTTCTCTTTTCCCTTCAAGCCAGGAGAAAGGTCAGAAGGACTTTTTTTTTTTCCTTAAGCTCAGTACAAAAAATGGATGGTGCAGTGCAGTCTGTCTGTGTGGAAAACAAAGTGGTTCTGGGACAAAAAAAAAAAAAATATCATTTTTTCCTGGTAGTCCCACCACTTTGTTTCATCAGGAAGAGTCATACCTCTCAAACGGGGTTGGCATGTCGCTGTGGCACGTCTTTGCTGGCCATAGCAGGAGGAGCTCCAGGGAAAAGTCAAAGCCCTGAAACAAACTTTTTCAGAGAAGTTTCTGTTTATGAAGGGCTCGACAGTGTGTGCAGTTTCTCCCCAGCACTCTTCCTTGCTAGTGACTTTCCAGAAGATGTGCTGGTGAGATCCTTACTCCTGTTTTCTGTACCGGCTGGGTGGCAGTGACGCTTGCATGTCAGGCAGCAGGAGGTTAGTAGGGTGATGTTTTCCTTACTGAGTTTGGCACCTTGACTTTTCTTGCTTTTGACCTAATGGTCCTAAAGCAGAAATAGCCATCATTGCTAGAAGATGTGGTGTGCAGCGACTTCTGAATGTGGGTCCTGTGAATTGGGTGCATTCATAAGAAAGTCTGTAATGGAGCAGACGACCTGGTTCTTGGACATTTTCTCCAATATTTTCTCTGCAACAGGCCCAAATTACATAGAGCCATACTGGAAGCATTTTACGTGAGTGCTTTTATCACCCCCAGCAGGAAGCAGGGACCTGGGAGACCCCCACTGATGCCTGCTGCTCACTTGCCGGTGGGGTGGTAGTCACGTAGCTGGAGCAATTAGTGTCTGTCAGGCCACATCTAGGAGTGGATTTACTTTCGGATTGTTGGGAGAGGTGGTAATATCCTACTTGTTAAGACCTTTGAGTTACTCAAATTGAAAGGTACAGTGCGGTGCTAAGCGTTTCTGTAATCTGTAGTAATAGAAATTACAATATTACCTGTATGTTTTGGGGTAAACCCTAAAAAGGTTGTGTGTGGGCCTTTGGAACCACAAACTGCTTGAAGATCTTACCTATTCGAATGAAAAGTTTAGTCCAGAGATGGGTGAAGCTGTGACTTTTCTGAATCAATTGGGTCAAGAAGATATACAAAATAGATTAAGACATTTTGGAATAATTTAAAAAGTATCTGAGCAAATCTCATTAACATGGACCACTAGCATGCTGTATTGAAGACTTCAAAGATCTGTCAGAGGAGTTCTTTCTGCACTATTGTCTGCCAGCATTAGCAATCTCAAGAGAACATGTTTCTTTTGTTTTCTTTTGGCCCATTTAGCTTTTCTTCTTTTTCTTATTCTTCTTAATGTTCCTTAATATATTACAAATCTTCAAGTGGATTGGTAGAAAGATACATTTCTCGGCTTTAAGATAGTCAGTAGCAGGTTTTGATCCTCTTATCTGATGCTTTTGGATGAAACCCTTCTGGTCTTCATGAAGACTGCTAAAGTGAGCAAGATTTGGCCAGTATTTTGCATAATCCTGCAGTGTTTCTTCCATTGGCTTAGGTAGATGCTCGATATGATCTCCAGTAAAATGCAAGTGCTGATTTGTATTGCTTAACATACGTTCAAACTACCGCCATCCGTTTTGAATCTGTGAAGAACATGAAGCACGAGGCTGAGTGGTTCATGCGCACCTCTAGATTTGGAAACCACTGGCTTAATCTATACCTACAGATGAAACACAGGTACATATATTGAAAATGGCCCAATGTGTAGAGGTTGTAACTGCAGATTAA